TTCTCTCTGTCTCTCTCTCTCACTGTCTATAACTCTGTCAAATAAATAAAAAAAAATAGCTTTAAGAACATATTGGGTGAGGGGGAGTCAATTTTCTAAAGCAAAGTTTTGTGCATTTATAAAGCATCAGAGGAAAGTATATCTTTTGTCATGACAATGGTTCTTAACCTTTTGGTAAAAGGTGATAAATCTGTTCAAGAATGTGATAAAAGATATGGTAAATTTCCATGTTGACTATAACATACAAAGACATGCAGGCAGTGTTTTACAAACAATGTCTTTGTGGCCAGGTGCTCCTGAAGATGAGCAAGGAATCTCAGATTAAGAGTGTATTATAGAGGACCTTGTTGTGGTATAGCGGGTTAAGCCACCATTTGCTATGCCAACCTCCCATATGGGCTCATGTTGGCATCTTAGCTGCTCCACCTCCGATCCGGCTTCTTGCTGATGCACCCAAGAAGGCAGTGAAAGATGACCTAAGTTCTTGTGCGCTTTCATCCAGGGGGGAGAGCTGCTCTGCAGCTCCAGCTCCTGGCTTCAGCCTGGCATAGCCTTGGCTGTTGCAGCCATTTGGGGAGTGAATCAATGGGTGGAAGTCTCTGTCTCTATCTCTCTGTAACTCTGCTTTTCAAATAAGCAAGTAATTATTTTTAAAATGTAAGATTTTTCTGAGTTGTTGAATTCTGGAATCTATTGTAGGCAATGAATGTTTCTATGATGGCATACAGGTATATAAATCTTAAGTAAAACAATTGTGAATATGAGCACAATGCTGCATATTATGTCAAACCTTCACATGAAACATTTAGACACAAAATAAATAAATTTAGCTTTTAAAAGGAAAGAAATGTTGGTTCCATGATAGAGAACAACAAGTTGTACTGAAGTTCTTAAGGGACATTGTTTTAATATTTTACCTTGAAAATTTTTAAAAAGATTTATTCATTTATTTGAAAGGCAGAGCTACAGAGAGGCTGAGGCTGAGGCTGAGGCAGAGAGAGAGAGAGAGAGAGAGAGGTCTTCCATCTGCTGGTTCACTCCCCAAATGGCTGCAATAGCTGGGGTGTTAAGCTGATCCTAAGTCACGAGCCAGGAGCCTCCTCTGGGTCTCCCACACTGGTGCTAGGGCCCAAGGATTTGGGCCATATTCCACTGATTTTCCAGGCCATAGCAGAGAGCTGGATCGGAAGTGGAGCAGCCAGGACTCAAACCAGCACCCATATGGGATGCTGGTGCTTCAGGTTGTGGCTTTACCCGCCACAGTCCCGGCCCCTTACTTTGAGATTTAATGTGAATGAGAGTAAAAGGTTTTCTAAATAACAAATATACAAAATATATATGAGGATATTTAAATAGTCAACCACATATTAGATGTATAGTCAATGTATATCAGATTTTAATATACTTATCTGTCAGAAACAAGATAATTACATTAATTTTGTTTAAGAGATTTTAAAACACCATAAGAAGCAAATTTACAAGTAGGAGACTGAACCAAAACAGAAATTAGATGTCAAAATCGATCTTTATAGCTATATATGCCTATACCTAAAAATATGAGTATGTCTGTCAAAATGAAATATTTCAATCTAAGTATTGTTCAGTTCCAACAATATTAAAAGTATTTTATTCCTCACTTGACAATGTCCATGGGAAACTTGCAACTTGTCAGACACTGTACTAGGAAAGGGTGATGCAGAATTAACCTAAGCAGGCAAGACTCCTTTCTTCATGGAACTTGTATGGAGTTTCCATGTTGGAGGAGGTGGTAGAGCTAAGCTTTGTGTCACCTAAGCTTAACCTATTTGTCTAAACTTTTCTTTTTTTTTTTTTTTATTTTTTTATTTTTTTATTTTTTGACAGGCAGAGTGGACAGTGAGAGAGAGAGACAGAGAGAAAGGTCTTCCTTTGCCGTTGGTTCACCCTCCAATGGCTGCCGCGGCCGGCGCGCTGCGGCCGGCGCACCGCGCTGATCCGATGGCAGGAGCCAGGAGCCAGGTGCTTTTCCTGGTCTCCCATGGGGTGCAGGGCCCAAGCACCTGGGCCATCCTCCACTGCACTCCCGGGCCACAGCAGAGGGCTGGCCTGGAAGAGGGGCAACCGGGACAGAATCCGGCGCCCCGACCGGGACTAGAACCCGGTGTGCCGGCGCCGCTAGGCGGAGGATTAGCCTAGTGAGCCGCGGCGCCGGCCTGTCTAAACTTTTCTTGAACCCTTTGCCTTAGCCATTGTTCACAATACCAAGCACACACAAGCCTTCTTTATATCTTGCCTTTTTAAGTTTCTCCTATTTGGTGTTCTTGGGAAACATCTTTTCACGCTAACCTGACACCTACCCATAATCCTATGTACTTCTAGCTAACTTCAATTTTTCAGGTCTTTTTTATATTTTGTCCTCAAAATTACTTGAGCTTTTATAGTCTATAAACTTTTTTTTTTTTTTTGACAGGCAGAGTGGACAGTGAGAAAGAGAGACAGAGAGAAAAGTCTTCCTTTTTGCCATTGGTTCACCCTCCAATGGCCGCCGCGGCTGGTGCGCTATGGCTGGCACACCGTCTCCCATGGGGTGCAGGGCCCAAGCACTTGGGCCATCCTCCACTGCACTCCTGGGCCATAACAGAGAGCTGGCCTGGAAGAGGGGCAACCAGGAAAGAATCCGGCGCCCCCACCGGGACTAGAACCCAGTGTGCCGGCGCCATTAGGCGGAGGATTAGCCTGTTGAGCCACGGTGCTGGCCAGTCTGTAAACTTTAAATAGTCTTTACGTTTCAAATTATTTGCCCAAAGTCTATTTTTCATTGAGTTCTTAATCCATAATGACATGGACCCAAAGGCCTAGAGAAATTCTAGGAACAGAGTGGTTATTTGATAAAGGCCTAAAGAATAAAAAAAGGAGACTCTGGATAAGTGAGTGATTATGTAACATATTATTGTGGGGTTGTAATTTGTAGGAGCTTTGAAAGCTTTGTGCAAAGGGTGAGACCTCTAACGGGAATTCAGAGATCTGTAGGAGATGGATGGCATTGCTGTCATGACTAGCAAAACTGAATGCAGTGCTGTATACTGGATGTCATAAAAAACACATTTGCTTGATGCTTCCACTCATCCATCCATCCCTCCATCTATCCATCTATAATTTACATTCATTAGAATATATTGAATGTCCAATAAATAAGAGTGCAATGTTCTTTCTTTTTTGTAACATTTTCTAGGAAACAACACAGGGGCTGCCCTATAGCAGAGATTTGACAATTTATTTAACTGGATGAATGGTTACACTAAGTTAGAACGATAGAAGTGAATAAAAAGAATAAAGTCGAAGATCAGGGTAAAGAGGATTGCAATGCTGTGTTTTCTAAAATACAACTGTTTTGACCAAAATAACCCATGTTGAATATTTACACTGTATAAACAGGATGGCATTTTTAGAAGTCAGTCTGTTGTTCCCTTCACTAGATATCTTCACATGATAATGTAGTTCTTAGTTTAAATATGTTGAAAATACATACAAATAAGTAGCAACGTAGACTCACACATTTGCAAACATTTAAAATCAAAACAGAAAAACAGTCATCATCTGTTCCTTTCTCATTATACCTTAATTTGGTATGCAAATTTCACGGCTTCTACCCATACCTAAATTTTACATGGCAATTTGCTAATCCAGTTTATGTAATGTAGCGCAGACATAGACATTTATAAATGAAAATATAATAAGATCTTATTATGATTCCTGATATTTTATTAGCAGTTAATGAGTGTGATAATTTTCCAAGATAAGCAACCATTTTGAGATATATATATATATATATATACACACACACATATTATTTGACAGGTAGAGTCATAAACAGTGAAAGAGAGAGACAGAGAGAAAGGTCTTCCTTATGTTGGTTCACTCCCCAAATGGCTGCTATGGCCAGCGCTGCGCCTATCCGCAGCCAGGAGCCAGGTGTTTCCTCCTGATCTCCCATGCAGGTGCAGGGACCAAGCACTTGGGCCATCCTCCACTGCCTTTTTGGGCCACAGCAGAGAGTTGGACTGGAAGAGGAGCAGCCGGGACAGGATCCAGTGCCCCAACTGGGACTAGAACCCAGGGTGCCGGTGCCGCAGGCGGAGGATTAGTCAAGTGAGCCATGGCGCCGGCCCTTAGATCTCATTCTTGTGCTGTGTGCATTGACATTCATTAGGACTCAAATATTTCACCCATTTAAAAACAACATTGCAACTTTTGTTTAATTTCCAATTGTTGTAGGTATACAATTTTGATCTATTTGAAATTGTAAAACTCTCCTACTTGACAGATTAATATTTTTAGTATAGAGTGTTTTTAATTTGGAGAGAAATACCATCTGGAGATACCATTTGGAGATAAATACCAGGCACCCACATGGGATGCTGGCGCCACAGGCGGAGGATTAACAAAGTGAGCCACAGCGCCGGCCCCTGTGTTTTTTGATATATAGTATATGGAAAGTCTCAGCTCCATCCACCAGGATGTAAGCTGAACAAAATCAAGATTAAGATAACAGAACTGGTTCAAATCAGTTAAATCCAAAATGGCGTCCAGATTATGCACTACCTTTCCTCCAGTCCCATTATACCCTCATTGTGATGCATTAACAGAGTAAAAACCTCTCCCCCTCCTGCCATCACAGGTTACAATTGCCATGACAACCTACAGAAATGACCACATAAGGGGAGAAAAAGAGGTGGATCCTTAGTTCTGGAAGTTGCTGCCCCCTTTTCCAGAAATACAATGACTACTCAACCCAGATAATAACTTACCTTTCCAGACCCCATAAACTTCATTTGTAAAGAGATCGCCACACTAAGAAGAGAGCTACTGCCAGAGGTAACTAGCCCCACAAAGCTTCTTGCTTGACTAACGAGACAACTCTACTGCTCATTTCCTGCCTTCCTTTTCCCAAACTTGATTTTCCCACTCAGAGGACCCACACCTTTTCCTTTTCTTAGTCCAAGACTATCTAGAAACCTCAGTCACGTGGCCACCGCCTTGAAGGACATTCTTTGTGAACTCTTGTGTGTGCATATATACCTAAAACTCATTTTTCTTATTATCTGTCTCATATTACATGTGATTTGTAAGCCATAACCACTGAAGTAGAGGAAAACATTTTTAACCTTCTCTATATGAAATATAGTCAGAGTCTCAGTTCTTCCTGCTAAATTGATCACAAAGCATGTGAGTGTGCCACATGCCTCAACTTGGCCAAGGAATTGGTAATAGTAAGGAACTGTCTCGATAAGTGGTTGGAGGAGTTGCTGTAGAACCCCCAGACTGGAGATGTCTGCCCCACATGCAGAAAGCCAAATCACTGGCATTGAGATGCTGGGAGAAAGGAGGTACTTATTGCAATGTTCAGAACTAGGAGCTAGGCTGCTGTAGCTCAAGTTGCAGGCTCCTGGAGGGGATAGGGACAAAGCTTCTTATAGATTTAAGTTGGGTCTTGAGAATGGATGTTCAGCTCATACCTAAGTTTCTGGTTGGTCTGCAGTGTTTGGCTTTAGCCATTCCGAGGACAACATGCAGATGGTAATTACTTCCTGCCATGGGCCTGGAATTTCCCTGAGAAGATACCCTTTGAGACCATACCAGCCATCAAGTTGGTAATTATTGGAGAAAAAAATGACCACATGAGTCCAGTGATGGCTGCAGTACTCCCTCAATTCAGTAAGTTAAATTTAGTAAGAGGCCAACTTGCAATTAAAAAAAGGTTAAAACAACAACAACAACAACACACACATGCACACACAACACAGGACAAAGACACCTTACACTAAGGGAGAGAGGCTGAGAGGCAGGGGCCTGGTGGTATCCAACATTTGCATTCAAGGCCATGTATAGGGGTTCAGTTTCACTAACAGGTCAATGTAATGTTTGACGTAGCTTGACTGCCAGTGTGAGATAGTAATAGGAAATACATATATCTTGGTCTCTGGTTCCAGCCCTGAGCACAGATCACCTAACACCTTTGTAGTTTTCTGAGTGATAGGGGTGCTAGAAGAATCTTTGATCCCAATATTTTATTCTGGCCCAATCTCCTGAGTCACAATTCCTAATACCCTACTAGATGGGGGCACTAGGAAAATTACTTTGCTGTAATATTTGGCCTTTGACCCCAGTTCTTGACTCAGAGTTCCTAAATCCTTTGGAATTTACTGGACACCTTTTTTTCCCTAATGAAATAACTCACAGTGGGCTCTTGACTAAGGTCTGGTCACCAGAACGAGATAAACATGATTATAAGAGTAGGTCATTCAGTTCTCCCTCTCCTATTCTCCAGAGAGGGAAGAGACACTGGAAATAAATAAAACCTCCATAAAGTTCTCCAAATTTAAGGGTTCAGAGAGCTTCCCAATTGTCAAACATATCCTTGTGCTGGGACAATGGTCATCTCAACTTCACAAGGACAGAAATTTCTGTGCTTAGGACTTTTCTAGACCTCACATTGTGTAGCTTATCTGGCTTTTTTATTCTTTCTTACCTTCCCTATCATTCAGCTGCTACATGTAAGCAAAGTGTTTCCCTGATCTCTGTGACTGACAGAAAATGAATTGAACTCAAGGGGAAGGCAGAAAGACCCCTGATGTAGCTGGTTGGTCAGAGTATAGCTGATGATCTATTACTTATGACTGGCATCTGAAATGGGGAGGGAGCGGTCTTGTGGAACTGAACCTTCAACCTTTGGGATCTGACTCTGTCTTAGAGTGTTGGAATTAAGAGGAGTTATAGAGTGGAATTATCACTATGTATTTCATATCACTATGAACTACATGAAATTTGTTCAACTTATATAAATTTAAAAAAGAGGTGTTATAATGTTCAGAATTTAAGAGGTTCATGTTCTTATCTCTGACATATGAAAGAACTCAAGGACAAGACATACACAAAGCTTAGCAGAGGAATTAGATTTACTAGCAAAGTGAAAGTACACACTTAGGAGGGAGTAAACCCTTTCAGGAATGGACAAACATTTCCAGGAATTTGGTGACTGGACATTTTCTGGCCTTTATAAGAAGTCGGAATTTTCATGGCATCAGGAGCACAATGGGAGTGGGAGTGTCAGCCGTGGTAATTTTATTATAATGGAATTATAATAGGCTATAAGTTGTCAGTGCGACACAGTAAATAGCCATGTTGATATTTTTGGCTGGTGCTATTTCTGGGCAGCAGCTTTGCTATAATAGCAATTTCAAGTTGCCATTCATGGGATGAGTTTGAGCGGCAACCCTAGCAGGAATGGTATTTCCTCCACCTCTTTCTTGGATACGTATCTGTCTCTATAGCTATAGCAATAGGACTCCCAGCAGGCATTTTCTAGAAAATTATTGGGAACTGGGGAAGTACTTTTCCACATCAGATGTCGGAAGTGTTATTTTAAATGGTGAGTCAGAGTGGAAAAAACACTTTGTTTTTTCTTATATTTCAGAGCCAAAAAAGGCACCTTTTCAACAATAAGAATTTAGTCTGATGTTTAAACTGTGGCTTTAGGCATCTGCCTTATGGCTTCTTTTTGCTTCTGTATTTTATTCTGTAAAATGGATATATTAATACTGTCTTTGTAAAATTGTGACAAAAAAGTTAGATAATAATATATTCAATATGGTTAATACTGTTTCCAGTCAATGACAATCACTAATTGATATTTAGTTTATATCAGGACTATAATTAACTTTTGTATTTTAGGCTTTATAGAGACCTTCCATAGATTTACATAAACCCCAACAAAATTAACTTATTTGTACAATGACTATTGCTTTCTTATCTCAAGGCTTGTTGTTAGAGAAGGAGCTATTCCATGACAAGTTGAATTTATGTGACTCCTCTGCTTCTGCTCCTAGAAAACAAGGAAGTTTAAAGGAATCCCAAACTTGCAATAAAACCCTCCCTTTTCCTATAGGACATGGACAACATCCATACATTCCCCATTCTTTCTTTATGAAAAGATCATAACACAGAAACCATGCAAATGCCCACTCTTTGGCTCATAAATGACTAATTGAATTGCTTTTTACTGCTTCAGAATATAATCCATGATGTTAAATGAGGTGAAGAAGACTGTAATCAGGAGGAGGCCATCACTATAGGTGTGGAGTCCTATGAGGTGTTGCAGTGGGAGAGAGAGGTGGAACCCAAGCCTATGCGTGTGACCATTTCTAGACAAAGAGCAAGGCAAGGGCAGTAGTTGGAGAATTACTAAAAGGAACATCAGGGTCAATGGGGATTCTAGCTGAAGGCAGGCCAGGGAGATGAGACATCATTTGGAAGATGGTGGAGGATGATGAAACTGATCAGACGATGAGGATGATCGATATTGTTGATGGGGAGTTCTGCTGAAACTGGTGTAACAGGAATCTTCTTCCTAAGAGCAGATAGCGCAGCGGTAGACAAGAAGACCAAAATCTGAGCCTCACTGAACAGTGGATTCAGAAGGAGCCTAGTGCAGGTTGGTCAAGGAAAGAATATGGATCAAAGGGAGCAAAATGCTTGTAGACAAAATTTGGTTGGCTTCCCTCCTTCCCCCAAGCCCTTGAACTCAGGTCAATCTCAATTGGAAACAGCAGATAACTTCCACTATGCCCCCGTTAAGGGCCGCTACCAGAAAATAAGCTGGCCACAAGGTAAAACACTCTTTGACCTACCATCCAATCAAGATACTTTTAAAACCTTTCTTCTCCATAAAACAAAGCCTCTCTCTGGCTAATTCTTGAGACTTTTGCAGGTCTGTAGTCACAGTGTTTTTCCTATTGCAATAATCTCTCCTGTATAGGGCCTCCACCATCTGCCTAGCAATGATATTTTAAAAGAAAATCTGTCCTTTCTAAGTATGAATTTTTTTTGGTTACCTGTTATAAGTGTGGGTGAAATCAGACATGACCCCCTAATATCTACACAAAAATGTGGCCCTTTAAAGTTTCCCAGAGTGCTATCTGGGATGCCACATATGCTACCGGAATTTGGGGTGCCATATGATTTCACCATGAGCTTATTAATAAATCCCCGATATTAATAAGCCCAAGAGTGTTCTTACCTAATATTTAGAGGAGAATTCTAAATACTGGCACAGATAAACGAGGCAGCATAGTACATTTTAAGCTTTTATTTAGTGAGGAAGGTTCATAAGAGAGTGAGAGCTTTATTTAAGAGAGAGAGGTGAATGGGGGTTCATACCGAGCACCAGGAACCAGCCACGTGGATGAGTATCTAGGCCAGGAAGCCTAGGGCTACAGCAAGCCCGCCTCCTGCCAGACACTCTGTGCCCCAGGCTTTTAATCTACTTCCAAAGGGGAGTGGATAATTAACCTGATTGACTGGTTGGCACCCAGGTCTGGCCAGGTAGGGGCATGAGGTCACACAGGGGCGTGGCGAAGGCTTGGTCTTCCAGTTCACAAATCTAATCAATTTTAGCCTGTATGCCTGCCTACTTCAAGGGGAAGTAGGGCAATTTTCTATAAAATAAACTAGAAAATATACATACTTTATTTTGCTTCCTCTTATAAGAGAAAAATATGTTTTCATGGCGAAGACAGTATCCACCTTTAAGTTTTGAGTTTGAAAGAAGGAAAATGCAAGATGGCTTCTCCATACAGAGTCGCGGTATTGCTCAGAGGGCTTCTAATGTTCTTTGGTTCTTATCACCTGCTTTTAAAGCATATGTGACATGACTCTTGGCTCAGCCTTGGAGGCTGGTCTCACCCTTCCCTTCTACCAGTGTCATGGGCATAGGTATTTTAATCTGTATTCTAGGTTCTTGTCCCACAGAGATAAGAATCCAAAGCACAAGCATCCACATAGTGCCCAAGTGAGAGAGAGCAGGATTTATTTAAAATAGAGACACAGTGAACATACATTCACGCATGAGTGTGGGCCCCTCCACATGGAAAGATGACATCATGAGTGGGCCAGAGAGTTGCCCATGAGAAGTAAGGGGGAAAAGAGGAGGCCTGAGAAGGATCTCCAAGCATGGCAAGTAGCAAAATAAGGCATCTCGCCTGTTATTAGCCTATTTTATGTGGTGGTGGGGAGTGGCTTATGAGAATTTCTGGGATCTATATAGTCCCTAAACACGGAGTTTAACTTCCATGTGGCCAGGAAGGCATCTCTTCCTTGCTGGTCCCCAGTGAGACACAGGTGCATCATGGGAAGGTGGACATATTAGATTGAGAAATGAAGGGATAAAGTTACAGTGGAGGACTGGTAAAAATTCCTGTTGTCCGGTGCATAACAAATCTTCCCAGGCAGACGAATCAATTAAATTGACAGGCTTTTTTGGGATTCTGCTCCCGGGCGAGGTTCACCAGTCCCAACAGAGCGGGGGTCCGGGGAAGTCACGTGTCAAAAGTTGAAAGGGCTCCTTTTATAGATTCAGGGGTTAAAGGTTGAGGCGGGTCTGATCCTCCTTGGTTGACCTTTAGGCACCATGGGGACCTTGACAAGGACTTTTCTTCCCCGGAAGTGCGGGTAGGGACTTTCTATTCCCGGAAGTATTATAGGCCTTCCCTCCTTGGGGATCCCAAAGCTACCACCTAGTAGTACCTAACTCCCTGCCTAATTTCACAAGGACTAAGACAAGAAATACACAGGGTGTTACTTAAAGCAACTGTCAATGAGTCTGCTGTTTAGAACAAACATTAAGAGTGTCAATTGTCACTGTGCACTAACTCCCCATGCAGGACCTCTGTCCTCAATGAGTTGTTATTATGGAAGTTAACTGTAAAACTAATTCTCAGTTTTTTGTGTGTGTGTATGTGTGCAAATTTTTGAAATGTTTACTTAGTATAGAGTTGGTCTTCTGTGTGCAAAGTTCATTGAAAATGAATCTTTATGGAGAATGGGACTGGGAAGGGGAGAGGGAAGAGGCGGAGGAGTGGGAGTGTGGTTGGGAAGAATAACTATATTCCTAATCTGTACTTATAAAATTTGTATTCCTTAAAAAATAAATTAATCAATTAAAAAAGAAGTACATAGGGACATTCCAGAAAAAAATCTGCCCAATAGGTACTGTTACTGCAGATGTTTCCTGAAAATGTGAGGTATTATAAAGGATTCTAGTGCAGAGAAGCAGTTTAATAAAAAAATAGATATCAATTTTTAGAAGATTCTCTCTCCCATCTTGTTCCTCCTCTACATCCCTTTCATTTCTTTGAAGTGCACACTTTTGCTATGCAGAACAATTCAAGAGTTTCTTATCCCTACCACAGACTCAACTCTGGGAATCCCATACCTATGCAACTCAGTAATGGTCCTGCTAATCTGAGATCTATTTACAGTAGAGTTAGTTCCAACCTTTAGCAACACAAAACACTGGCAAAATGCTTTGAAAGTACAGACTCCCAAACACATTAAGTAGTAAAGAGGCAGAATCATTAAATAAGCTAGGGGCCATTGGCCTGAGGCTATCTCCATATTTTCAAGTTTCTACATGACAAGCTGCACCCTCTTTTTAGCACAGAAACTCAAACCTAACTTGGGAGAATGTTATTGTAGCAGAGAGCAGAGGCTCAGTCAATCATAAGCACCACCGTTCAGTCAATGACAGACTGATAAAACGATGCCAAGTAAGGCACTTGCTCTTTGAGAGAGAAAGCAAACTATTTATGCATTTTACCTCTCCCTTCACACTACAAAAACTCACTGCTTTGTTGCCTCGGAGCCACTTCTGGATTTGAATGCTGCTAAATTTATGAATCTTTTCATGCATGTATAAACTCAGCTCAATCTATTTTGTCTACAGTTTTTCCTTCAGTGGTTTTTGGAATCAGAATTGATATCCAAAGGAGACTTTCCTCTTCCCCAACAATGAGTAACCAAGAAGCCCATTCAGCTCAATGCTGAAACCAAGCCCTTATGGCCTGGGGGACTAGGCTGCCTCCGGCCTTCTCACCAGGAGTACCTCCTCCTGGGGTTGGCTGCCCTCATTCCTACCTGTACACTCACAATCCCAACTTTAAATAAATCCTGCTCTCATTTTTGCACATTATTTATGCCTCTGCTTTGAATTCTTATCTCACATGGGACAAGGAGTTGGAATAAAAACAGGAGACATTTTCCTAAAATACTTACCCAGTGCCTTGAATTCAGGTGCTAAATACTACCAGATCCTACTCTACCATGGTCTCAGTCTCCTTCCTTCAAGTATTCCTTGCCCTGCTTTCATTAAAATTAACTTCTGAGTTGAGGGTGTGGTGCAACCAGCCCTCCAGGATCCCTAATCCCCTGTGGATAGCATCTTGATGCTGGGCCTTGTCTTGAGGAGTTTCTTTCCCAGGAACTCCAGGCCTGTAGCAAAAAGTAGCCACCACCTCCACATTGCCCCCAGACTGACTGAAGGGCGCTTTGCCATTATCAGAATTCCCGGGGAATCAAAGCAAGGTCATGAGCACAACCTTAATTCCAGCCACATGCTCTCTCCTTCTCTCTCTACTACTCTCAGCCTGCTAACCTTTTAACTCACTTACCTTCCCACCTCATGATGAAAAGAAAGCAATACAGATGCCTTCTAAAATTAGGCCCTCAGAACAACTAACTCTGCTTCGTTAGCCTTCTTTAGGCCTTGGTCATTATTGAGTTCACCACAACAGTGAACATTTTCCCTTGCAAGGGAAAGCTTCCTCTGCTACCCCAGAAATTTTCTGAGGCATTTAGTACTTTCGTTGGAAGGCAGGATCTGGGACTTCCTGATCTTTGAAGCCAGATTAGACTCCAATATATGCCTGTCTGCCCTAAGAAATATTTGCAGCTACTTATTTTAAGAAGCTTTTGAAAGACCAAATTTACATCTATAAAAGAAATTTCCATTTGTAAGGCTGCTTGCCCCTCTGCACCAGGAAAGCAGGACAAAATTACTACAAATATTCCTAAGGAGCTGATGGGCTAAAATCTGTAGGACATGCCTTGCCTTTGTTTAAGGTGTTTTCCCTGTCTGTAAGCTGGACTTTTACCTGCACATTTATTTCTTTATTTTGGAAAGTAATGGTTTTTAAGTTTGAAATCTAAGTTCTGTGTATTTGAGATGTGAATTTTCTATGGTCTCCCACCTAAGGCCGTCAATTTGAAAATGCAAATTTGAGGGAGATGACTCATCACAAGAAAGGAAGAGAACTATTTGGAAAGGAGCAAGCAAAAATCTCAGTATTTTTCAAAAATCTTAGTGTTAGTCATCTTGTTCCTGAAAACCAAAATAATGGGGACAAAGTCTGAGGGTAAAGAAAAGACATATGAGGGTTAGCAGACCCTCCAGTCTCCAGATCTACCACCATCCTGAATAAGGGTGCTCTGGGATGTTTAGGAGGCCACAGGGAAGCAGAATTCAGGAATAAGGGAACAAAGGACACGCGCAGCAGCATGTTGGCCGCTGGCCAGGTGATAAGGGGCTAGTTGGAGCTGCAGTGCTTATCCAGTCCAGTTACAAGGTCAGCTCAGGTCCAAGTTCCTCAGTGGTCAGCAATGTCATACTCTTCAGAGATTTTGATAATGGCAAAGTGGGTCTCAGGGCTTTCTGTCTTGCACCCAGAATTCTCCTAAAGAACATTGTTCATGACAATGCTGTCCACAAGTGTCATCTATTATCTCATGAGTCCAGCGATTAGAATCCTGTAGAGCCATCTCTACCACTCTCTCGATTCAGTGAGTTAAGCTAAGAGAGATTGGCTGGGAGACTGGGGCCTGAGGTTTTTCATTCAAGGCATTGTTTGGGAGCTTGCTTTTAACCTAGAAAGGTTATTTTTTTTCTTTTGTCCAGAAACACAGTTCAGATCTAACTATTCTTCTAGAAACTAGCAGGTTTTGCATTATTATACATAGCCCCTGATTAACAATTTAAAATGGAGGTGATAGGATCTTTGTCTCTGTGTGTACGTCTATAGATGTCTGTGTATGTTTCTGTATGTCTATATCGGCATGTATGTTATTTATAGCTTGCCTACCATCTGTGTGGGTTCCAGGTCCTTGGATTTAAGGAACTGTGGGTCCAAAATATTTTTTTTAAAAAAAGATGCATATCTACTGACCATACATACATATATTTTTCCTTTGTAATTATTTCCTAAACAACACAGTGTAACAAGTATAAGTGTATTTCAAACAGTTTGTGGAAAATAGAATTAAAAGCGATAACAGACTTCTCCATTCAGCTCTGTTTTCTCAGGCAGCTACTGAAAGCATGTCAGTGAGAGCAGGTACACTCAACTGGTCTTCCCATTCATATTCAGACGATTACTGTTGTAAGAACTCTCCATTCAACTCTGAGAAAGAGAACATTCATTGCTCATTATAGGTCTGTAGGAGAAGTGGCAGATCACAGTGAAGCCCAAAGCAACCTCTCCATTTAGAAAGAGATGTGTAAATTTTTGGAGTTAGGCTAATTGGGGGCAAACTGGACAAAGCAGTGACAGAACATGACAGGTACAGAGGAAAGGGATTGGGGGTGTTCTTTGAATAGGTATTGGCAAGTGACAATTATGGGCTATTAGTATGTTAGACAGCCCCTGAAGCTTACCATTAAGCATGGAGAGAGGGGGTCCTCTGTTGTCTCTAGTTTCAACAGTATTAGATTTCAACAGTATTGTGTGAGTGAGAACAAGCTGTCCCTAAATTGCCTGTGTAGGATTCAAAAGAAACATCTAGTGAGCATTGTCTGAGAAGTGGTGGAACACTTTTATTTATTTATTTTGTTAACTATCAGGTCAGTTTGACACAGGGCACATGCACAAAGGTATGTTTTGTCTTAGCCACCTGCAGCAAACTGGATGACTCCTTTGCTCTGTTTTTCTACCTCGTCATGCATCCCTAAAAATGTCCTCCTTAAAGACAACGAGCACCCTTCTTGTCAGCAGCCTCTTTTCAGAGACAAAACCCTCGTGTCTCTGACAGTGCTTGTAGACAATCATATCCTAAAGGAAGTAATCTCTAACCATTGAGAAATTTTCCCCTGGTAGCCAAAGCTACTTTTCAAGCCAAACCAAAGTATGCACATTGTGTATTGAAATTTGGATGCGAATTTGACCACTTTGGAATACTTCCAAAGACTCATTGTAAGTTGTTGGGCTTGGGTTTCCCACGAATAGGTCACTCATGTTCTACCCTGAATAAACCTCATATTAAACTTTTTTTCAGATCCTGTTTGTTTTCATCGACACTGTCCTGATTGATTCTGAGTCCCTCTAATCAGAACTTGATTTGCCAGCATTTTTACATACAAGCCCCTTCCGACCTAATCCATAAAATCTTTCCCCAGGCCCCTTATCAGACTCCTTACCTGATCTCCTTGTAATAGCTTTCTCTCTGCAAAATAACCTGGATTTGGTGATTGGTCTTCCAGCCTACAAATACAAATACACCAAAAGACAAAAGAAAAAATACACCAAATGCCTTTGGTAACACAATGGCACTGCTGGCAGAACAGGAAGTCCTTCCTAAATGTTTGCCAGTGGTACACCAGCCCCAGTCAGAGAGCTGGACACAGCCTGTGAATAAAGCAGCTGCCAAGCATGTAGCTCCGTGATTCTCCAAGGCTTTCACCTCTGGTACAGTGGTATTTCTCTCTCTGTCTCTGTCTCTGTCTCTGTCCCTCCCTCCTTCCCTCCCTCCTTCCCTCCCTCCCTACCTCCCTCTCTTTTGTTTGCAGTAGAAAAATGTCTCCAGGTGAGTAATCTCAAAAGGCCACTTTATCTCCCTCCTTGACTTTGTATGCCCCTATGTGGGTCCTGTCTAACCCTCTATGGGTTCTGTTGGGGTAAATCCCCAATCTCACTATTTGAGGCAGGACTGGGTTTCACGGTGGTGAGAACACTTGCTGAGTCCTTCCAGGACCCTGGTTCTACTGTACTCCGACCTTTGGTGCCTGTTCTTTGTTTAGCATCTGCTACGATTTGTGCTGTGTTAAGTTGTGTACTTTTTATGGAATCATAAAAAGAAAATTCTAAGAGCGCTTAACTGACTTCATAGCCCCTCCTCTCTCATCATGGCCCCAGCTGCACGGCCTTAGGTAGCTCCTCTGTTTCACTGTCTGCTACGTGGCAGGGTGGAGCCAATGGTGGAAGCCTGGACTAGTTTTCCATTAATGGATGATGTAGAACAACAAAGTTAGGTAAGATTTGATGTGTACGTGTGTGTGTTATATGTGTTGCATTAGTTACATATAATATTTACATGATAAAATACCATAAAGAATTGTATTTTGAATTGACTTACAGATCAATGAGTGCTCACATAAATTAAAATTGCTGAATTAGTTCAAATGCCTTTTGGTTCATGTGACTTAAGTAAATCTTTGACAAATAAATTTGTAAATTTGTTGGTAAAAAGAAAGTGAAGGGTTTTTTTTTTTTTTATGATCATTAACATCCATTTGTGTCTGGGGTTGATGACCTAGAAAAAGGATGCTTATCAAAGCTGTTATATATTTAAAATCATAAAAGCATAATTTTAATCTAAACACAAATGACGGGGACGAAAGAGCAATGTGGTTGGTGTTCACTGTTTCCTGGGAATCAAGTACCACAATTCAGCTTTGGGGATTTTCTTTTGACAGGGACAGATCCTGGGTTTTGGTCACTAGACAACATTGCTCCTGGCTTGGCCAGCTCAGATAAATTCCTTTACCTCACAGCTCAAATCATTGTCTCCCTGTTTCCACTGGCATGTGTGCTAAACAAGAACTCTTGGGTTTTCTGCCTCATTATAAACACACGATGGATGCTGGTGTAGGTGGCATTGTTCCACCTCTGGGTGGTACTGCCAAAGTTAATTGGTTAAAATTAGAGCCCTCTATTTAGTTGGCTTCAAAGAAAATATATGCATATATAAACTAACTATCCTTTAAACTGTTAAAGTGATGGAAACTGAACTAAAATATTTCAAGTTTACATGATCTGTGATAATCTTCAGTAAATAAAAACTAGTGAAATTCTGTTTAATCAGAAAAGGTCTATATTCAGAGTTTTGGACATCAAATATGCACACACACAATTTTTAATTTATATCTGGGTTGATTAGTTATGTAGGTTTATGCCATCTTTTTTGAGGTTTAAAAATACAGAACTATACATTCTACCTAAGAATAAATGTTGTTAGAAGAAATACACTTATTCATGTATGTCAAGCACATTTTAAAACTAAATCAAACAAAAGGATTCATATACAGGGTTGTATAATAATTGGAAAATATGTGTTGTGAAAAATCTATGAATATTTTTCCAATTTTTTGCACCAAAATAAATTTATCTTTTAATTATTTTTTTACAAAATCTAATTACTTAACATTTAAATAAGGTAAAAATGGCTAAAAGATAAATAAATTGATCATTAGCCTTTTTTGGTGTGTTAACACGTATACTTTAAAAAAAGTACAAAAGTGAAAAATGAGCTACATAATTTTCTGTAGCCTTTGAAGTCTCTCTTTTGATTATCACTTTGGTTACATGAATAGTGTTACTTTAAAAGTGATTTGTGATGCCATTTTAATCAAGTGTTTTGAACTTTTGATATTGATAAACTTCCCCAAATCGAGATATAAGTTAAATCTTTTGACCTCAAACTGGTATAGGGAGCTTGCAGATGGATCCCTGATTTATAAAAATAGAGGCAGAAGGAGATTAAAATAATTCAGCATATTTGATATGTTAAAGTGCATGGAAACCATTGTCAAATAACATGTAATACTGAAACTTCTTTAATTCACATTGTATGGATACATTGTTAATGTACTTTATATATTACATGAAATTCCTAGAAATCTGATGGTTCTAATATAACCCATCAGTCATAATTATAGTTGTTATCTTAAATATTGTCTGTCACAGAAATAATGAAATTTCTTTGTCAATTGCCTTATAATGATCTCTCGTCAAACCTTTAATTATGGCCATTTTAAGTCTTGTCATCCATAGACAGTTAATTATTTTACTCTGATACTTGCATGAAAGCTATTGCAAGCAATTATAACCGAAAGTGTTTCATCTTATGAAAGACTCAAGGAAAGAATTCTCATAAGTATAGGTTTCTGATAACTTTAAGATCAAACCATGGCACTAAGGATTCCAAAACTCTAATGACTAAACTGACTGACTTACAAAACCATTATCAAGTAAAACATGAACTAACTGAATACCCAGAAAATTCTGTGGTAAATTTCATGTTTAGTAAAGCTGGTACTGAAATGTGATGATAGGCAATCACAAATGAAATCCATACATGGTGCCCTTTTGCATCACTATCATTCAATATAATTCTGGAAGTTTTAGTCAGATCCATTAGTCAGAAAAATAATCAAAGGCATACAAATTGGAAAAAAAGATGACAAAAATATTCCTATTTTAAGATAACATAATTCTTTATTTGAGGAATCAAAAACTCCACTATTAGAATTCATAAACAAAATTTGATAAAATTTTAGGATATAAAATCAACTTACAAAATCAGTAACATTCTTATACACTTACAGTGCTCTGGTTGACAAAGAAGTTACAAGTTCAGTCTCATTCACAGTCATTACAAAGCAATTAAATACCTTGGGATCAATTTAGCAAAGGATGTGAAAGCTCTCCACAACTGAAATTACAAAATGTTAATGAAACTTATAAAAGAGACACAACAAAATAGAAACATTTTCCATGATCATGGATTGTAAGAATCAGCTTTATCAAAATGTCCATACTACCCAAAGCAATTTGCAGATTCAATGTGGTTCCAATCAAAACACAAAGGAAATTCTTCAAATATCTAGAAAAAAATACTAATGTTCATATGGAAACAGAAAACACCCTGGAAAACAAAAGCAATTCTAAAAAATTTAAACAAAGCCAAAGGCATCACAATACCAAATTTTAAAGCATACTATAGGGCTGTTATAATCAAAACAGTCTGGTTCTGGCACAAATTAGACATTTAAACCAATGCAACAGAGTAGAAACCCCAGAAAATAACCTACCACAACCAACTAATCTTTAATAAATGAGCTAAAATCATTCTCTGGAGAAAGGACAGTCTCTTCAACAAGTGTTATGAAATGATGAACTTCCACACACAAAAGTATGAAACAAGACCCATACTTTATAGCCTATACAAGAATCAATTCACAATGGATCAAGGATCTAAACCTAAGACCTAAAACCACTAAATTACTGGAGGGAAGCATAGGGAAAAATGCTCTAAGACACTGGTGTAGGCAAAGACTTCTTGGATAAAACACCAGAAACGGAGGCAATAAAAGTAACAATAGATAACTGGGATTACATCAAGCTAAGAAGATTCTGCACAGGAAAGGAAACAAGCAACAAAGTGAAGAAGTAACAGATAGAAAGACAATATTCACAAACATCCAATAAAGGGTTAATATCCAAACTATACAAGAACCTCAAGGAACTCAACAACAACAAAAAGCAATCAAGTCAATAAATGGGAAAAAGATACGAACAGTCATTTTTCAAAGGAGGAAATCCAAAGGGCCAACAGACACATGAAAAAATGCTCAGGATCACTAGCCATCAGGGAAATGCAAATATAAACCACACCTCACCTTAGTAAGAAGGGCTGTCATCAAAAAAAATTAATAACAATTGCTGGCAAGGATGTAGTGAACAAGGTACCCTAATGCACTGCTAGTGGAAAATAGCTAGCACAATTATTATGTAAGAATAGTATGGTGATCCCTTCTAAAACTGAAAAAAAAAAAAAATCTACCATATGACCCAGCCAACACACTCTTGGAAATATATCCAAAGAAAATGGAAGCAGCATATTGAAGAGTGACCTGAAATCCCATGTTTATTGCAGCTCGATTCACAATAGCTAAGATATGGAATCAACTTAGATGTCCAGCTAATTGGGTAAAGAAAATGTGGTATATATACATGATGGAATGCTACTCAGCTGTAAAAGAATGAAATCCTGACATTTAAAGTGAAATGGATGCAACTGGAGACCATTATTCTAAGTGAAATAAGTCTTACCCTAAAAGAAAAATACCACATGCATTCTTGTTTTTAATAGTGAATATAGAGAGTATAAATACTATGTGGATGTCGTATAATTTGATATATAGTTATAAATTGTGTTTCACTGAATCATACCACATACATGATGATACACTTTCACATGTTCAAAACAATAGAAATGTGGAGAATAGTTAGAACTCTCGAGGTATCATTAACCCTTTCTTAGTTTGAGTGCTGGATATGAGTGTGATCAGATGGCAAAAACCTCATTCATTTGTACACTCACGTGCATTTCTTGGGATGTATATTGTACTTTGATAAAATGCTTAAAAATTAAAGGGCTTACTTTCCATAATTCATCACGGAACAAAGTGATACAAATAACTGGTTTAGTGACACTTGTAAAATTGATAAAAATGGTTATAATTAATGTATTGTTTGTCAAACATATAATTCTAGCAAGATAATTGGAACTGCAGATGGTATATTTTTGCTACATGATCTATGATTTGAGCATTTACAGATGGGTTTCATTCAATTTTCATCTTCAATGGGTTTTAACACAGTCTTTTAATAGTTTGTAGGTTCTCCAGCTGGAAAACTTGTGCTAGGACAATGGTTACCAAATTAATAACAAAGGTATTTCATTTATGGGACATTGCTGGAGAAATCTTCACTGATAGGCAAGCTATTTTATGGACAAGTTATAAAGCAGTTAGGTAAGGTGTTACAAACATAATGACATTATCATTATCCCGGTTACTCTCACTCTTCTGTAAAGGTCAAATGGACAAATGGCATTTAAAAATTGAAAAAGTTAATTGAATTGATTGTATTGGTTTGGCCAAAGGTATTCCTATAGGCCCCGATGGCAATTAGATCCACTCCCATTGGGAAATATAGATTTACTCCTTATGAAACAGTTACTGGAAGGCTTATGGACTAAGAACATATTATCATGTTATACAGTTCTTGGCTTCAGCCTGTCCCAGCCCTCGCCATTGCAGCTATTTGGGGAGTGAACCAAGATGATTTCTCTCTCGTTCTCTCTCTCTTTTATTCTCTCTCTTTTCAAGTAAATAAAACAATTCTTTTTAAAACCATCATTTAATTTGATTTTCCATGAACTTTTTAAGCATTCATATTTTTCAGTCTTATAAATTCTGATAAAAAGTTTCTTACCAACCCTACCTCATTAAAACTTCAATACTTGGGAACTTGATCACATACATCTCAAGAAAGCAGATCCGGACTCTTGAAAATGTACGCTGTTGAAGTCATAAGGTGCAGCTGACCAGGTAAGTCTTTCCCAGAAGTAGATGGAATCATGGATGTGTACAACGTTCCAAAGATCAACAACCAAGTCTTCCCTTCTCTGCCATCATGAAAAACTTATCATTGTTCTTTTGTTTCTTGCTGTCACAATCCTGTCACTTACTTTCTTACACTCAGTGAAAGTCATATCCCTACCTTTTAAGCTGATAACAAAACTCTAACCAAATCCTATCTGGATGATGCTTGTGGAAAGTTTATTATGCTTCCCAGAATCATGAACCCAAAACCTGGGGGCTATCTATGTGGGGTCAAGTAATTGCTTGTATAATATAACTGGGTTAATTCTGCATGGTCCCTTTTCACAAAATGTGGTTATACACCCTTACAGCCTGCCACAGAAAAGTCAATTTCTTCCCAGACCTTGTTTCAAGAAGTGTGCTGAGAAATAGGCTGACAGATTTAACTGATCTAAGCTCAAATGCTATTATGTAGCCCTCTATTTCCATTCCCTGAGGATCCATATTGGATCTGAGGAGAGTTTGCCTGCTTTGTTCTGCCTCCCCACTAGTTTGGATCTTATTTTCTAGCTTGATTCCCTCCTGCCTTCTGAATCGCTTCTCCTATTGGTCTATACAATACTTGCTATAAATAGAAGCCAAAATGACCATCAGTAGAAATTAGCATTAACCCTGAAACAGATAAAAATAAGCTAATGTCAGCTGGAGAAAAACTCCAAATGAAGGCTCACTCTTGGTGGTAATGAGGTGCCAACTGTGTGGAATTTGAAACTAATGCATAAATTGAGAGAAAGTCAGACTTTTTGACTAACTGGAATTCCTAGGGTTTTGTATAGGTAGAAGTCACCCTCCAGAAGGTGTATGACAGCATATGTGTTCAACAAAAGTAGTTACTGAATATTATCAGGCATCTTTAGATTTCCTAGGGACTTGCATATGGCACTGAACAAATCTAAATGCACGTATCTTTCCACTTATTATGCTATTGTTTAAAGTTTAATTCAAAAGGTGGTAATACCACTTTTTCTTTAGGCATTGCCAACAAATGCATTGAAGAAATTCTTTTTGGAAAAGGAGTACACAATGTATTTGTGATACTGGATGACAGTTTGAAGGCATTCTAAGTGGTGGCTAACTTGCCCCCAAGTTTTCTAAGCTTAAGGCTTCCTCAAGTAGGTGTCTAGGTCACTATGCTTGTGTTTCCAAGCTGATGACAAACACGGTTGCCTCTTTGGCTGGGCATTTGGTGCAGCTGTTAAGATGCTTCTTGGGTTCTCTGCATTCTATTTCACAGTGACTGGGCTGCAATCCTAGCTCTGTTTCTGACCCCAACTTCTGCCTATGCAGACCCCAGAAGGAAGTAGGTGATGGCTCAAGTGGTTGAGTCCCTGCCACTGGATCGAGTTCCAGAATTAGCCCTGGCTGTTGTGGAATTTTGGGGAGTAAACCACCAGATGGAAGATTTCTGTGTGTGTGTCTTTCTCTCTGCCTTTCAAACAAACAATTTAAGAAAAGATTCCTAGGCAAATCAGATCATTCTACAGTGGATAATAATCCTTAATCACCACAAATTCCTAAAGATTGTGACCAACCAGACTCAAATACTGTTAAACTACTTACATAGCCGGAGATTTGATTTTTTTCAATTTGATCAGTTGAGCTCCGTTGCGTTCTTGTGAAGCATTGCACTGTAATCTCCTGGAATCACCTTCCTGCTAATCATCACAGTCATCTCTCTGGTCAACTCTGTCCCCTCAAGAGTCTTAAAGATTTGTGTGCCACCATCCAGTGTACATTAGTCTCGCTTTGACTAGAATGGAAAAAACAGGAGTCATGCAACTGACCTAACCTCAGGACTTGTGACCAAATGAGTCCATTATGATGATGACAGGGAGTGTTACCAAGCTCCAAGCTTCTGAACACTGCCATTGGACAGAGTGCCCAGTGCTTTGACATTCTACATATTGGACTGCAACCTAATTTAGGAAGCTAACAAACCAAAGTCTAACTTAGAAGTGCTTTAAAAAAAAACAGAGAGCGGAGTATTGGACGATTACAGGCTTCACACACAGGCAGCCAATGATCATGCTATTAGTCTAAATAAGACAAATACCTAGTGATAACTAATCAAGCTGTTTCTCTATTCTATTTAGACTACAAAAACTTACTACCAATAATGTGGAATAGGGGTCCTCATTCCTCTGCAGGTTTTGTATGCTGCATCATTCATTAATCCTTTAACAATCAAACTACTCAATTTGTCTATGTTTTTCTTTTAATATAGAACTCATTCACTTCCCTTTCATATAGATAAACACAATTATTGGTGTAATATGCGTTATTTCAATGAATTATTTCACATATTTGCAATTTCCTTTTTCTTAATTTTTAATTAAAATCATTCTGCTTATTTGACTGTATATATTTTTTACAAATTTATCTCAAATTTGAAATAAATTAATTTAAGCTGAAGTAGGGAATAGTAATTTTCCAATGATTAATTACACCTTGTATTTCCTTTTTTTTGAGTTTGAATATTAATTTTTTATTTGACAGACAGAGTTAGACTGTGAGAGAGAGAAACAGAGAGAAAGGTCTTCCTTCAGTTGGTTCACCCCCGCAAATGGCCACTACGGCCGGTGCTGCGTTGATCCGAAGCCAGGAGCCAGGTGCTTCCTCCTGGTCTCCCATGCTGGTGCAGGGCCCAAGACTTGGGCCATCCTCCACTGCCTTTTTGGGCCACAGCAGAGAGCTGGACTGGAAGAGGAGCAACCGGGACAGAACTGGCGCCCCAACTGGGACTAGAACTTGGGACCTATATGCGATGCCGTTGCAGCAGGCGGAGAATTAACCAAGTGAGCCACTGCGCCGGGCCTGATACCTTGTATTTCCAAAGTAGATTTTCTATTTTTTTCTTCACTGAATTTGACTTTTCCAGGGTCTGTTGGAAAAGGGATGCCTCCTGATTCAGGTGAGTTCCTGGGGGTAGTCAGGCTGAAAGGACCATGGGAACATAGAGAAGCTCTAGCATTGCTAAAAGAAGATTCTCGTTTTCTTATCCCACAGACTCCATTCTCAGTGTGAAGTTTTGGCTGTGTTCCTCTTCGACAGCTATCGGATTCTGCTTACAACATCTCACAGATACTTTCTCCCCTGAACTGAACCAGAACATCTTCATGCGCCCTCTCCTTATGCCATTCTTCCTTCCTACAGAGCTTCCTTTAGTTCATTTTCTCTCTAGTTCCAAAACTTATGTTCCATAAATTAATGTGTTTCTAACATTTAAATCCAAGGATCAAATCATAGTATTTTTTCTTTTAAGTCTTTTAAGCAATTTTCATTTTCCTTTTAGCTCTGCCTGTTTTCTTTGTGGTTATATTATACTGATATTACATACATATGGCATCTTAGATATACATGGAACATCCCTAAATTATAATTCTCCCTATGCAGAGAACCCTGAACTACAATGTAATGTGCATGTAGAAGGTAGTACTTCTGACTCAGGCTATGGATTACAAAATAGATTTATTATTTCTGGAGTCTTTACATTATATACCCAGATATACTTCTTTGTTTTCTAATTAGTGAGTTTTAGATATATTTGTCAGGTATTTGTTAAACCTAAAAGAAAGCCCACATATATGATTTATGTCATGTGACTTATTATCTAATTGTAATAGTATTTCCTTTTAATTTATAGCAACATCCCTCCACCTCCCTCCATTCAGATAAATTAGATAATCCTATAGCATTCATCTGTAAAATTTGCTTAAGAAATTTCTTAGCACTAGTTTTCTCTCTACTCTCCAATAAAATTGTTATATTTAAAAATAAAAATTGTGTTTTTTTCAGATAACCAAATGTACGAATTTCTTTTGCTATCTCTATTTTCTTGAACTAGACACTCTCCAACTTTATTATATTATTTTGCAAAAACCAAATGGAAAATAAATGAATATGGCATTATAATAAAACTGTGCTTGTATTGTTCTTATGGGTAATAATCTTTATTCACAGTTTGGCTGTGAAAACTTATCTTGCCACTCTGCAGAGAAAAATGATAGGAAACAGTAGATAAGATGTATTTCTAGAGATAAATCTTCCTTAGTCTCAAGCATTTGCCCCTCTCCAATGTCTGTCTCTGAATTGATCACTTCATAGCTCATCATCACTTCATAACTCATCTGAGAGAGGCATCACAAGAAACTTAATTGCTCAAAATGTGAATGATACTAATGGAAAGGAAAAGAGGAGGCTGTGTTCAAGCCATTAAGCCTTCAAAAAGCAGCAGATGCTGCCAGCAAAAAAATACTCTAGAGACACATTTGACAGTCGTGCTCAGATCACAAGGAGGTTCCTCTGAATCAATTTTGCAGAGTCCTCATATAAATTGTAGAGAGATTGCATATTAACAAGTGGGGTTGACATTCGGCAGAACAGGGACAATAATGTTCCATCTTTACAATCTTAATTTACTGATGTGAGCAGAGCTGATTCCTGTATAAGATGTCTCACCCTTATCAAATCTTCACACTCCACATGAACCCAGTTGCCATGACTTGCACCACTTTCTCTACCCTATCAACCCCTTACATCTCTGGCGATCTTACTACTCCAAGTGCTCAGTGAAGTGAGAACAAGAGGGGAAGACTGTACATGTGACAGTAGTATATTCCCAGCTAAGTCCAGATCTGTGGCAAAAGATAGAACTGGAGAAAGGAATAATGGAACTGAATGCCAACACAGTCAAGAATCAGGATGATAATGTATATGCTGATGGGGTTCAGGAGAGCTGCCACAAATACTCACACTGACAATTGAGGAACTGCCAGAAGCAGAAAGCTCTCTGACCTTCTCCCATCATTCTCCCCAGTAGAAATGAATTTTCAGAAAAGAATTTTCCGATGTTCCTCTACAATGGGTCTTTAATCCCTCATGGACTCTTCCTATCCCTAGAATAAAGGAACAAAGACAAGGAGATGCAAAGAATAATCTGAATAAACAGGATTGATAATCCCCCCTTAATTATTTTTTGTTTTTGATTTGTTGTATTTTAAATGTAATTCTTTAGTTGAAAGGCAGAGACAGAGAGAGACAGATATCATTCATTAGCTGGTTTACCCTCCAAATGCCTGTAATGGCTGTGGCAGGGCCAGACCAAAGCCAAGACACCAGAAATCAATCTGGTTCTCCCATATGGATGGCAGGAACCCAAGTACTTAAACGATCACCACTGCCTTCCAGTGTCCACATCAGCAGGAAGCTGGAAGTGGAGTCAAAGGCTGCTATGGACCCCAGGCAGTTGGATACGGGATGGGTCATTCTAAGCATCTTCTCAACTCCTGGGTCACATGTCTGTCTTCCTCAATTTGTTACCATTAAGTCATACCCTTTAGTCTTCCAATATTATTTCTGCATGACTTCCCATAAAAACCAAGAGATTTTAAGTGCCTTTAGGTCTTCATTTATGATGGCTCCATGTCATATCAAACTTAAATAAAGTTACGTGTTAGTCCTTGTTAATCTGACATGTGTTATACTTGGTCATAAATCTTGTGATGGAAGAGAAAATGTCTACTCCTCTGCATTTCCAACTTATGTATTAGAGAACAACCTGCTTTAGTAGATCTGAGTTAGTAGAAGGGACTTCCAATAATGTTCGTGATTTTCTAATTATGAAGGCACTTTAAAAATTTTAAAGAAAAATTAATTTAGAAATGAACTTATTTTTTACAAAAGTATTTGAAAACCATGTCTAAGTTCCTCATAATACATGTTTGCCATGAATTTTTGAAGCTCCCTTGCATCATCACATTGAAAATGAAACATGAACTCTACACAAAAGAAGCAAATTATAATTATTTTTCCTAAAATATTCATTGCAGCCTTTTGTTGAGTGCTGTATTAAATGCTGAGGACTTTGTAATGAACAGAATTGCCAAAAATCTCTATCTCTTTGGTGCTTATTTATATCTGGGTGTGGGTTAGATGCACATAAGTGCATGTCTGTTTATCTGTGTATCTATCATATGTCTACCTATATCTGTATCTATCAACTCCATCTTTCTAGTATCTACCTATCATCTATGATGAGTACTATTCAAAAAGTCAACCAAGCATAGGATGAGAAAGTGTGGAAATGTGAAGGATTATGGCTGGATCTCATTTCTAAATGGGCCTTGAAATTGATCTCACTGAGTTGGTTACATTTCAATGAAGGCAGTGAGGAAGTGAGTCAGAGCCATAGCTGAGGAAAGACCACTCCAACTATAAGAAATAGGAGGCTCAAAGGCCTTGAAGTGTAAGAACAGTTGGTGTATTCCAAAAGTCACAGAAAACAGCATAGATGAAACTATGATTTCAGAGAAGGAATTAAGCCCATTGAAAGATTTTGACTTTTATCCTAACTGATCTTTAAGGTGTTTATTTAAAGTAGTAAACTTGTCACTGAATTTTTCATAAAAATAAATGATTCCTGTGGGGTTTTTCTTAAAGATTTATTTATTTATTTGAAAGAGTTACACAGAGAGAGGAGAAGCAGAGAGCTAGAGAGAGATGTCTTCCATCTACTGGTTCACTTCTCAATTGGTCACAACGGCAGGAGCTGTGCCGATTTGAAGCCAGGAGCCAGGAGCTTCTTCCAGGTCTCCCATGTGGGTGCAGGGGCCCAAGGACTTGGGCCATCTTCTACTGCTTTCCCAGGCCATAGCAGAGAGCTGGATCAGAAGTGGAGCAGCTGGGTCTCGAACCAGCGTCCACACTTCAGGCCAGGGCGTATAACCCACTGAGCTACAACACTGCCCCTGATTCCAGTGTTTTAAAAG